GCTTCTCCTATAGGGAAACATTTACCGAACGAACCGGTGTGTCATTCTTGTTCCCCGGACACGTACACACTCGCAAAAACTCTGCACACCGTGGAGAGACAAAGGTGGATACTACATCGCTCGCGGCAGTATTTCGCGGTGAAGTCTCCGCGATTCTTTCCGCAGCAAGCGAGAGAGGGAGAGGGAGAAAGCGAGCAAGAAAAAGTTCCTTTTGCTCTCGAGAGCGCGCGCGGCCGTCACACACGGCGTGTAATCCACGGCGCGTCTCCCTATTTCGCGTGTGAATGCGCCCCAAACAATCGAAACGCCGCGCCGTCTTCGGCGCACATGCGACGACGACGCGATCGCGCGGCACACAATACGCTGCGAGCCGATAACCCCCTCCCCGCGGCGCTCGCTGCGAGGGCATAAACCCGCGCTTCGGCGAAAACGCCGTTTAATTAATGGTCAATACAGCGTGGATCGTGGCGGGATTACGCCGCTGGCATTTGACGTTATAAAGTTGACGCGGCAGATACAGAGGCGCGCGCGACGGCGGCGTCGGGCTGTCGGCGTCGGCCTCGGCCGCGGCGTCGCATCGCGCCGCGCCGGTATATCAGCGCGATGGCGCATGTGCGCGCGGTTTTAAAAAAATTAATTGGATATGTCGGCGGAGCATGAAATGTGGACCGAGGCACGGTCGGCTGCAGATATAATTTCCCCTCTAATTTAGAAGGATCCACATTTAATTTCGCAGCGCGGTAACTCCGTGAGTCGGTACTTTCGAGCGCGGCCGAGGGCGACGGGAAGCGACGGCGTGGAGGATCCGCGGTCCGAGATGAGCGCTGTCCGGCTATACCGGGATCTCGATCGAGTCGCCCCTCTCTCGCGTTTTTGGGACAATTTCGATCAGCTTTCAAGGAGACAGCTCGCAAGGACAGACGGCGCGCGGCGCTTCGTTAACGCCGCGACGTTAACAAACGACGTAGAAATGCACAAGCCCGAATTGAGATTTGGCTTCTACGTTAATTCTGCAAATACCGTGGAACTCGAAGGATCAACGGGGAATTCGGAGTCCCTCGAGTTCGATGGAATCCGCAGGGTTTGATGCGCGGAACCAGGATTTCGACTCGGGCATTCGCGTTAATGTCGCGAATTGATTTGTTAGCGCGGCGATGTTTCAACGACAGCGGAGGTCCTCCTGGAAGGACGAGGAGATCTGAATCGCTGCGCGCTCCGTTGCCGTGTCGCTGTGCTTCCTACGGAGAGGACGACGAAAGGAGAAGGACAATTAAAGTGTCGTACTTAATGTACGTTAAAGTACGATGCTTAAAAAAAAAATATATATATATATATATATAGCGACGTACAAAATTTCCTCAAGTATCACGCGAAATCCGCGCCACGTGAGGCTTAATTTATAAAAATGGAGCATACGGCGAAGCCGCGCGGCGGACGGAAACTCCGCGGCATTAATAGCGCATAATTTCGCAAGGTATTAGAAGCGTAACACGCGCGCCAGATGCCGCTCCTGATATTTTGGGCGGCGGGGAAAAATTAATAAAACGGGATTTTTAACGAAGAAAAATATCAGCCGGCGAGAACTTTTAATTACTCCTAACGAGAAAAATCTCCGCCGCGCCTGCTTTTAATCCTTTGTTTAGTTGCCGTGCGCTGAGAGCTTAATCCATACGCGCCGTAGCGAGCACTTCTACATTTCGAATTTCTCACTGCATCGTACGTACATTTGTCAATGTACATACACGCACATATACACACACCGCCGCGCCGGTACGTTGCGGTTCGCACAATTATGCAAAGCATCCATAACGGCGTAATTAGTATATACACGTATCAAATGATCACGGTAGCGTAAGTTCGGCAAAAATCTCACGTCTGCCGTTACATGAAATTATTCAACGCTGCGAGTGATTGTGAAGTCGTAATCGGTCACGTGTGCCGCGCTTTAAAATGTGCAGCGAAGCCCGAATGAGGACTGTCAAGATACGCGCTTTCACGTTGCCAGCTGCTCGTTATTGGCGGCCAGCAGCTTTCGCCGATAGCTGATCCTGCGGTTTTACACGCCAACATCATATAAATAAGAGCGCTCGAATTGTTTCGGCAGTACCTTCGCGCAACCGCCGCGCCGCTTCGAGGCAATTTAAGGCGTCTCTTAAGGTCATTCTACAATACGTGTTGCAAGTTGTAAGCCGTAAGAACTGACCAATTATGGCCGATTATTTTTGTAATAATTGATTGTGATTCGCCAATTCTTACGTCTTACAACTTACGACACGTATTGTAGAATGACCTTTAGTCGCGAAAGATTTTCGCGCTCGCGCGCGCCGCGGCGATAAGAACGCGGCGGTGGAACTTCTCTCGCTAATCATTCCTGCACGACTGTCCCGCCGTAACAATATCCTGAGGAAAATGTATACCCGAAACGCTTCGTGAGAGAACACGTTGCGTAAAACTCAGTCACGAAGAAAAGATCTCCTGGCGCGATATTAAGCAGGCCGGACTGTTTTTCAAGAGCGAAGAGAAATTCCATCGGGTAGTGATTTTCCTCGCGGCGAGCGAGCGACAAAGAGCGGATGCATCGATGCCTCTGTCTCGCGCGATGCATGAATCTCCCGTGGAATCGACAATAAGTTGAACTGACGGACTCTCGCGCAGAATCGCTAGACTAGAATCTCAAGATGCACGGCGAGAGTCCTATCTCGCGCTGAAGATTCGATTACCCTCACTCGAGGATTAAAACGACGAAAAGAGCGGCCGGGATGAAGGACGTGTCCAAGCGCCGGCCAAGCTCTCGCCCTGATGCGCCGTTCCCGCGTTCACAAAGCAACCGGCCTCTTCGCCTAACGACGCGATATTACGCTTCCCTTTTATCACGGCAGCGAGCAACGGACACGACGACCCAATTTATCGAACTACCCCCGCGCGGCCGAGCTCCGCGTTCTCGGAGGAGACATTGGCGGATCGGTAACAAGAGGAACCGACGATTTCTCCGAGAGCGATTACCGCCGGCGGATAGCGCTCTCTCTCTCTCTCTCTCTCTCTCTCTCTCTCTCTCTCTCTCTCTCTTCGGAAATCCAGATGGTCCGCCCCCAGGACATAATTCAGGGTTTCAGCTGGGGTGCAACCGGCAGCAGCGGCCGCGGCGGCGGCGGCAGCAGCAGCAGCAGCACCGGACCCCGTTTGCATAGCGCGTCTAACCCGACCGAGAGACGCACATGCACGCGTGCACGCGAGAACGTGCACGTCGGCGCATACAAAGGAGCGGATGAAAGGGAGAAGCGGGGGTGAAAGGGTCGGCGAGAGGGAAACGGCCAACGGAGCGAAAGGGGTGAGGTTGAGGTGTGAGGACGTGGGAGGAAGAGAGAGAGCGAGATAGGAGCAGAGGGAGAGAGAGAGAGAGAGAGAGAGAGGGAGGGAGAGAGAGAGAGAGGGAGGGAGAGAGAGGGTGAGACGAAAGGGAGATATGGTAGCGGTAATGTATGCAATTGGACCGGGCGGCGGCGTGCACGACGGACGGTTGTTGGTCGGTTATGGGGTGGTGGTCGCCGACGGGTGATCCCACGGCGCGGGGCTTGCGGGTGCGGGGTGGTGGCAGTCGCACACAATCGTAGAATCCCGCGCGGCCGTGTCGGGTATTATATGGTGTTTAGTTTGCTACGGCGCGCCGTGGTTTCTCTCTCTCTCTCTCTCTCTCTCTCTCTCTCTCTCGCTCCTCTCTTTCTCCCGCGCTCATGATCGCGTCGAATTAACTGGACCGCGCCGCGTCGCGAGTTGTAACCCGGCGCGACGTTAATTCGCGCGAATGGATGCGCGAGTTGACCGGAACAGCGGGGAATGCAGAATTGTTAGAAATGGACGATCGCGATCGGCTTTCGAGGACGGAGCTGACAGAGCTGGAGAGTCGAGGCCGAGAACGTTGCTCGGAACGTTGCGAGTCCGAAGGACTCGCCAATGTCACGACGTCGTCGCTCGTCGTCCTCGCGCGACTCGCTCACGGCTTATCCGAAAGCATCCGCTCGGCAGGACGTGGTCTCGGCGAGATCCTGGCGCTCTGAACCCTTCTAATTACTAGTCTTTGGAAGTTTAAGCGGTTTCCTACTCTGACGTACGGATGGGACCACCTGACGAACGGCTCTCGCCCGCCTCGGGCGGAAGAACGGAGGGAAGGGGAGGGGGGAGAGAGAGAGAGAGAGGACGAAACGTTTATCACAGTCATTCCGTTCGGCAATAGGAACTTCCGGATAGCCCTTCTCGTTTCCACGATTGCCCGGTCGCGCTCTCCTGCCGAAACTACCGGCGTTTCCGCTCTTCATCGTCTCAATTGGGCACTTGAATTCGGGATTATGTCGGCCTCAAGGAATAACGAGTTTTCCGAAGAAGGTCCTTAATACTCGTAATTGAACGCTAACGTGAGACTGCCAACTCTCCCGAAGGAGCGGCTTATTTCGTGACCGGGGGGGGGGGGCGGGAGGTGGAGATCACTTCTCGTGATTCTACTTGAATGATTTTCGGAATACGCGTTTCCGCCGCTGCTCAGGCGGATGCTGCAGGAAAATGCAGGACACTTGTTGAACCAAAGTGCGGACTCGCCGTCATCTGATTGTGCGCGGCGAGGAAGCGAAAGTCATTGGTTACGACCGGAGGATATTTTCTTCATCAATCGCTCGCATTAGGGGATTCATCATAACGCAATTTGTAGGCTGTCGTTGACTATCTACCGCGCGAGAACGTCAGATACGCAAGTCCGAAATTATTAGCTTCGCAGGATGAGCCGCGAGCGATTACACCGCGTCGTTGTAATCCTCATTTGCATGCGCGTGTTTGGCAGAAAGGCCGCATCGCCATCACGCTCGTTAGCAGCGATTATAAATCGAGCGACTAAATCTTGTCGAGCCGATCGACGCGTAAGCGCGCAATTTCGTTCTCTCTTTATCTCGCGTTAACTGATAATCGCGACTGATAATACTATAATAAATCAGAAGGCAACAAGCAAGACTCACCTTTTGCAGATTGAGAGTAAACATGAGGTACTTCCTGTCGGCGGACAATTGGTGATCGTAACTCGACAGCAGAACCTGCAAAACATCGAGATAACGAATCTTTAATAAACGAACATTGCTACGCTGCAATTGCGGGGACGCGATTCAGTGAAACACCGCGCCGCGGATGTACAGCGAGCAATTCTCTGGAGAACAGCGCATACATCGCCGGTTGCCGGTTGCGTGTGCAACGCAAACGGTATATATTCCATAAATTCGCCCGCTTGAACTGGACGTTTCTCCAAAGTAGACTTTTATGCGCATTTCGACGCGCGCGGGAGAGATCTCAGTTTTATAATTCACCGACATTATAACAATTGTATCTAGCCAGCCGGAATCTCAACGCTGCGTTTTGATACTTATTATTCCCCTCCCTGTCCCCGCAAATTATCGAGATCGGACTTAACGTCTTACGCCCAATTTCTTCACCTCTAGATAAGTAGTCGATAACTTTATCCATGAGATATCCGTCAGAATCGGTTTTCTTCACCTTTGTAAAGTTTGTATCCGGCAGATAAACTTATCTGGCACCTGAAGTGACGGATATCTGGCAGATATTAATTCCAGTGCCCTGACATAATTAAGAAATTACAATAATACGTGATCTGCGCTGTTGCTGTTTTTATGAAAACACAGCATGGATTTCTTACTCATGAATATTAATATTTTTGAATCCGATGATGATGATGATGATGATGACGAGGAATTTGTGAAAAGAAGACCCTATACAATAAGAAATAAACCGAACAATTTTCAAGTGTGAGATATGACACAGAATTTTTCGAACGATTTCATTTCATTCATCAAAAGAATATAGTGCTCGAATTATTACATGCAATTGAAGACATGCGATTGTTAATACTGTGGAAATTACTTTAATTAGTTAATACTAGCCCGGAAGAGAATATGTCGCTAGCAAAATACGATGATTTATAGTAAATTTCTAGTACATTTTGTGTCAAAAGCTAGTACGAGGGCAGTCTAAAAAGTTCTCGGCCTAACAATGAAAGAACATTCTTTTTGCCGTGAAATATGTTTTATTTTTCAATATAATCTCCTGAAACTTCAATACATTTATTCCAACGTTTTTCCAATAATTCAATACCATCATTAAAGGATGATTCCGGAAGGTTCCTTTTGCTCTGGTGTATCCGAGTGGTGGATCCGAGTTTCATCAATACTTATGAAGCGACGCTTGAAATCCATTTTATTTTGCTTAAAACGATTAAAATGTGCCAAACACGCTTAAGAAATACGCATTCGGATGCGTTTTTGGTAGCAAATTGTTAGCAAATGCGGCACCCCCATCTTGCACAAAGCTTTCTCAACTGGTGCTACCACTCGAATGACTCGACAGATCGAATAAAATTTTACATGGGTTTACATCAGGGATGCCACTTTCCAATACAATTAATAGTTTGACAGTTTCTAATGCTATGTATGTGTCAGGTCGAGAACTTTTCAGACTGCCTACGTAGTATGAAGAATAGCCGTCTGTTAGAGTAAAATAATCAGAGGTTTCAGTGAAGAAAACGAGTTTTTAGTTATCTGACGGATATCTTTATCTGGAAGATAGCTATTGGGAGATGTGAAGAAACCGGGCATTAAATCGACCAAATGAACTGGCAGAAGCCCGCCGACGTTCAAAGCACCTGCCGCAATCGGCCGTCGTGAACGTGCAGAAAGAAAGAGAGAGAGAGAGAGAGAGAGAGAGAGAGAGAAAAAACGCTCTCTCTAGTTAGTGAGAATCACCAAATATGATCGTGAGCGATCCGGCTGCTTTCGTTCGCAAAATCACGACACGATCGCGCACGTCGAGGTCGCGCCGGCGACGAGACGCAAATCGCAGCGGGCCGAATGAAACGTATCGCTTATTGCGCTTATAAAACGAGCCGTTAGAATCGGACACGAAACTCAGATCGAACGGAAACACAGCGAGCATCGAAAGCGCCGGCCCCGGCTTTATGCAGCGGAGCGACGATCCGATATGCTTTGTCGAAATCACGGACGGCTAAATTACGATCACACGCGCGCCGCACGGAGCGGCGCGGAGCGGGGCAGAGAGAGAGAGAGAGAGAGAGAGAGAGAGAGAGAGAGAGAGAGACGAGCTGAATGAGCTACTACGACATTTGCTCTAACGGGATGAACATCGTTACGCGGAGTCGCCGCCGGTTCGAGCGAGACACTCGTCCCGAGAGTTGTACATTCTCCGAACGAACGGCGATTGTTCCAGTTAACCAAGCCGTCACCGGGCATAATACGGTAACCGGCGGCAGCGCGGCCAACAACTGCCATTATTACTTTAATGCAACAAGTTTATTCGCGCGGCAGAGTGGCCGGCGGATCGCGTCGCGTCGTCGGTTTTAGCGCTTTGATTCCGCTGTTGCTTCCGCGGCGAACCGGCGCGCGGCGCGGCCGTTTGGACGCGCGAGGAGCGTGTTGCGCCACTTTTCGCGTTTTCCCTCCATTTTCGCCAAGGGGCCATAGTTATTCGCTCGAGTTGCGAATACGCACAGCTCTCGTGTTCTCTCTCTCTATATATATATTTTGTTTTTTTTTCTTTCGTTCTTTCCTGCGCGCTTTCAATTTGTTTTCGCATGAAACATTTCACGGTGCAGTCCCTCTCTCTCTCTTTCTCTCTCTCTCTCTCTCTCTCTCTCTCTCTGTCTCTGTATGGAAGAGCTGCGGGGTAATCCGTGTTCGCTAATTTTTTAACGTCGCATATCGCACGCGCGGAACGAAGCGGCGCCAAGAGTCCCCGAGGTGCCGCGAATCATTAAAATTTCGAATCTCCGGCCATCTCTCTCTCTCTCTCTCTCTCTTTGTCTCCCTCAGCGCCCATGCTCGACGAGAACTTCTGGGACCGTGAGAAAGAAAAATTTGTGAAAAAAGGACGAGAGGAAACCAATAACTTGCGTCCGGCGGCGGAGGGGATACGGTATCGACATAAGTGGGAACAAAGTGACACTGACAGTTTTATAATGTTACGCGGTGAAGTTATGATTCTATTAAGCAACTTTCTAAACTAATTTCGAAAGTATTCCGCCGGGACAGCTTGACACGCACGTAATAAACTTATCGCTCTTCAGCGTGTGTGAAATTTTTATACAACCGGCGTGCGGACGCGAACACGGGGAAACTGCGGATGCAAACTATCGCGCGCAGTCTGTGCCGGCCGTTGACCTTCAGCATTTTACGGCCGCCCGTCCTTGTGTAAAACGCGACGCGCCGTGCGTTTATACGATCTTTCTGAATTTCGCGTGCGCGATATCAACGCGACAGAACAATGCGCAGGTCGACTTCGAAAATTAAACGTCCGCTGCCGCACTGATGCTCATCTCTCTCTCTCTCTCTCTCTCTCTCTCTCTCTCTCTCGCTCTCGCTCGCTCGCTCGCTTTCTCTCTTTCCTCTCCCCGCGAGCGCAAACTCTCTCTCTCTCTCTCTCTCTCTCTCTCTCTCGGAACTCGTTTGGAGAAATCTTCGACGGCGATATTCGTAGAATATCGCTGACAACAGACAGAGAGAAAGGGAGAGAAGAGGCAGAGAGAACTCTTGAAATTGCCAAGGGTAATTTTTGAGTGAGCGCATTTAGACAATCGCGTTCGCCGAGCCTACTCGCTTACGCCGCTTCGACGCGAGCGCATTTCAAGCGAACGCTGCGAGGGAGAGAGAGAGAGAGAGAGAGAGAGAAAGCGGAGGTACACGGGTCATAAACTCCCTAATAGCTTTCGGACTAACAACGGGAGCGCACCCCGATAAGACCGTCCGTCTGCGAGAACTACGCGAAAGGGGTTGCGTTGAGGGAGGCTTCTCGCGCGTTCGGAACACTCCCGAAGATTTCGAGTAACGCGCGGCGAAGGAGGACTTTATTTAACACGTGGAAGGCTGGCGAAGCGCGCGCAAGTTTGACGCTAAAAATAAAGTTTCGGTGCGTCGCGTCGCGTCGATTAGCCGTTGCAATTTCTCTTCAGCGCCCTCGTCCCGGCCCCGCTTAATTGGAAGAATCTCGCAAAGAACGACTCGCTACGCTCTGATTACGGCGACTGTACCTAATGAGGGCGGTGAGAGATCTTAATCGGAAAGGAGACCACTTAATCGCGCTCGGTGCTCGCGAAATTTCGCGGGGGATCGAATCCTCTTTCCTCCTCCTCCTCCTCCTCCTCCTCCTCCTCCTCCTTACGCGTTTGCTCGTCCTTCACCGTGCTGCGCGCGAGTCGGAAGACGAAATTTATCAAGTCTCGTCGAGCGTTTCCGAGTCTCTCGTTATCGGCGAGTCACGTAGCGTAAGCGCTCCGCCGCAGGCGAAAAATCTCGGCGAGCGAGACGAGGACGTGAGTCGCGAATTTTTACGCAAAAGTGCTCGCACGAGAGAGAGAGAGAGCGCAGCCATAGCTCGCTTACCGAGGGTTGGAGTGTCGGCACCGCGCGAAGGACTTTCTCGGAAAATGACACGTGCTACTTACTTAACGTCGCATAAATCGTCCCTAGGCATCGCGTCCAAAGACACGTCGCATCGTGAAATTCCGCGAAGACGGATTACGCATTACGGACGTCATAATGAATCATTTTCCAACGGTGGCGGTGACGGCGGCGGCGGCGGCGACGGAACCGCGGCGCTCCCGCTGCGAGAACGACGGCCGGCCGTGGTAGATTGCGCGTGTCACAACGCGAGAGATAACGAGCAATTACCGTAGTCGCGGCGATCTCTTCGTCGCGCCGGGATAACCGACGGACACGCGCGACCGATGCGTGCATTACGCCGCCGCGCCGCATCGAGAAATAATTTCGCCCCCCCCCCTCCCGCCTCGCCGCGCCGGACGACCCCGTCGCCCGCTGTTTTCGCATTCGACCCGCGGAAACGCTTCCGCTTTTGTACAAACGCGGGCGTAACGCGTCCGCCAGGGGGCAGGGAGGGGGAGCGCCCGGGCGCTTTAATTGATCGCGCGGTTATGAATTAGCGCGGGGAAGAAAAGCAGGCGGGGGCGGGCGGGGCGACGGCGGAGGCATGAGGGATGGCGCTTTCGTTGCTCTCCCGGCGTGTTCCGGTCGTTATCCGCGATTTCGGAAGTAATCGCGCGGACCCGCGCGCAATTAATTCGCACTGACGATTCACCCCGCGATTTCTATTTCGCTGCACGCGTGTGTTAAGGCCGCAATAATTGCACGTATTGCGCTAATGCGCGCTCGCGCGGCTGCGTGCGGTGCGCACAAATGCGTAGCGCCAAGTATCGCGCTCTCCTCCGCGGGAGAGAGCGAGTCTTGCGCGCTCTCACCGATATAGATTTTGCATTAGTCGAGGGTCCGTCGCTCGACGACGGACGCGGCCGGCTCATATATTTTATCACGCTTCGCGCCAGTCCCGCGAAAAGAATCCTGCGAAATGTGCGACGCGCGCGGCTGATTTCCATGCTATTCCGTCGTTATTATTATCGCCACGGCGTCGCCGGTAGCAGATAGCACATGCGCGTTCTCCATGCAAATAAGATGTTCTACAATTCTGAGATCCGTTGTCGCGACGCGCCGTTCAATCTCATGCAAACCGCACGCACGGCAAAGCCCGCAGAGGCGCGTTATCTATTTATGAGAGAGAGACGTTTACAAAAGTTCGCGCTCGGGCTAAACTTACGGCATTGTCGGAGTCCAACAGGATCCTGGATGTGGCTGAGCTGACGTTGTAGATCAACAGATTGCCTATCTCGTCGCGGTAGAGGATCTCGTCTCCTGCAACAAGAGCGGATGCGCCCATCCGAGAATTAATGCCGCGCTCTCTTTCTCTCTCTCTTATCGTGTATGCTCGCTGCTTCGGGGGGGGGGCGGGGCGGGGGGAAGGAGTATTTCTTGTTCTGTCTTATTCCTCGCGCGCGGTATCTCTTTTCATCGCGTCGAGGAACGCGAGATTCCAAAGGATCCTGTGCTTCCTTTAACCGCGCGACTCCTGAAAAACAGCCCCTCGGCGGCTCTATTTTTTCCCATTAGAGACACGACGCGGCCGAACGAGGTTCGTGCGGTGAAAAAATAAAACTTGTCCGGTAATGATGATTGATAGATTGCCTCGACATTGTCCGGGCCCCTTTTGTGCGGCCCCGCGCGCGGTGAGGAAGACTGACGCGCAGTTTTCCCGCAGCGCGATGGGGGTTGAGGAAAGATACGTAGTAGAGAGGGAGGGAGGGAGAGAGAGGGAGAGAGAGAGAGAGAGAGAGAGAGAGAGAGAGAGAGAGAGAGAGAGAGAGAGAGAGGAAGAGAGAGATAGTAGTAAATTTCAAGAGAGACCGTCCTTCTCGAAAATCGGTTTTCTCAAGCCGACAGTGCGCCGTTTCATCAATCTTGGCCGTGAGACCGGCTCCGTAAAAATCCCGGAATAAAAAGCGTTGAGTTAGGTCGCGATAGAGACCGCCGTGAGTAAGAAATATTTTTATCGTTATCGAAGAGAACAGGAAAAAGAGAAAAGAGAAGGAGAGAAAGAGAGAAAAAGAGAGACAGGGCGGGAGGAGGAGGAGGAGGAGGAGGAGGAGAGTGCGGGAAGCTCGGGATGTTTGTTCGACAAATTTTTTATCAGCCGCTTGAAACGTTGAGGTAAATGTGTGGCAACGAAAATCACGAGAGAAAAGGAACAGGAGGAGGAGGAGGAGGAGGAGGAGGAGGAGGAGAGGAAAGCACGCGGAGGAGTGCAGTGGAGCAACGTCTCGCGGCAAATTTCTTCTAATTGTCGAACGACCGCGATCAATAGTGCAGCGAAACAGCGAGGCGAAGGCGCGCTGGCGATTAATAATTCAGCGGCACGTCGGAGATATGTTTGCCCGAATCGCGGCGAACCGCGGCGTGTTTCCCCGAAGAAAACAGCGCGAAAATTGGAGAATCCTCCGGCGAATTAATCTCCCGCGATCTTCGACCGCGACTACTCGATCTTTCTCCCTTCTCGGTCGCTCGGGACGCGCGCAAGAAGCGCGATATCGCAGCATCGCGCGAACGAAGGGCGCAAAGAAAGACGGCGCCTCCGCCGCGCCATCGGAACGGCAAAGCCGACGTACCCCTTTAACGCGAAAGGTCTGCGTGTTTGCGCTATAAGCTTCTCGCTCGTTCCGCCCGGTGGATGCGCGCTCAAGCGACAAACAAGGGGTGGCGTGTATCACAGAACGAATCGCGCTGTCCGACGAGACACGGCGAGCTATTTCAACGTGCGACCCCGTTAGCTCGGAGAAAGTTCGCTTTTTCAACGATCGAAGCTTTCCCCCGGCCGCTGCGGAGGCCGCAGCGCGAACTTTGATCCCCCGTCCAAGGGGTGCGCGGTTCTTTGACGCCTCGCTCGACGCCGCTTTCGTCTCGCTTGCGAGCTACACGTCCCGAACGAACGAGAAGCGACGATGATTTCCGGCAAAATTGACATTTCAATAACACTTGTTTATGAAATCGCGTCAGGCAGACGGAATTTCTACGGGGGAACAATGAGAGCAGCCGAGGTTATTTACTACGAGGTTATTCCTTTGTAAGAATCGCGTCTCGCCGTGTCGGCTGTCCAGGATAAGGAGCTCGCGCGGGATAGTGATTTATATTAGAGGAAAGGAAATTCGGCGGGGATTCGGCCGATTTCTCACGCTACGGATAACGCGCGTTAACGAGACGCCGTCGTATCTTACGCGCGGCGAGACAACGAGCTATACGCCACGGACGGAGACGTCGTCGCCGTCGTTGCCGTCGTCTGGATGGCGAACGAGACTCGACGAGAGTCTTCCGGGATTTCGTCGCGCCGGCACTGCAGGCGGAGAGGAGGTTCGCGGGAGAAACAGCCATGGGCGTTTACGATTTACCGCCGCCGACCGCGCGTATCTCGCGAGAAATAGGCCGAAACGGGAAATGCAAACGAAGCGTGAACTTTATAGGTTGGCTCCCACGGCGGGAAGTATCGGGCGAAAATATCGCGCGCGTATTCCGGAACGCCTCGCCGGAGTCGAGCATTTTCTTAATGGAGTCCGATCGACGTTTACGCTCTCGACGTCCACGATGTGTCGCGAATGCGCAAAATGTCCGTCGCGAGATTGTCCTCGGCCTCGGATACGGATCTCGCGATTTTTGTCGCATCGCGCACGCGTTATTAGGAGGACTGGAGGGACAGATTGCTGAAAAATCGTGCTTGTTTTTGACAATATTTTGCGACGAACTGTGAATAAATGTGCAAGAATGAAAATTTTAGATATATTTATACAACATGTGAAGAGTAGAAAAAAAATCGAACAAAATTAACAAAATGGCAGCTATTATTAGAAAGAGATTCAAATTTTTCAGTTTTTTTACGATAAAAAAATTAATATCTCGAAATGAAATATCTTGACGGAGTTGTCCATGGTTCCACCTGAGAGCCAGATGAACAAATATCATTGCTTTAAAATTTCAAATCGATACGAAGCTCAGTCTCGAAGAAATCACTGCAAAAAATTGAACGATAAAATTTCGAGAGAAACGCGTTTAAAATTTAAGTGGACCTATATTTATATGAATATTTGTTAATAAACAAAATTGTTCTACTCTTCGTATGTTATATAAATATATCAAAAATTTTCATTCTTGCACATTTATTCAGTTCGTCCAAAAATATTATCAAAAAACAAGCACGATTTTTCAGTAATCTGGTCCTCCAGTTTTCCCTTGAGGTCGGACGATGGCAGCGGCGGTGACCGGGAGACAAATATTTTTTAATCGAACGCACCGGCAATTTGTGCGAATGTAAATGAACGTTCACGCAAAGCGGTAGAAGCTGGCAACGAACAGGCGGCGGCGGCGGGCGGCGGCGGCCGGCGGCGTCGGCGGCGACGATTCATCGTCGGGATCGAGCGACCGTAAATAAATTCGCGCCAACGAAACAATGCTCATTTAATTAATATCCAGGGGCGAATTACTTCTTTTAATGTTGCATCATTACGCGATGATTAATGGCGAATTATTCCCGCGTCGATTAAACCAACAACAGATGGGAATAAATTAAACGGCCGGTTTGTCGGGGCGCCGTGCGGCGTCGGCCTATATTTCCCGGGCGCGTCTACGTGTATTGTTGAAATACGTTTTGTAATGACACGTGTGTGTGTGTGTGTGTGTGTGTGTTGCTCGCGCGAGAGCGCACGTACATGCGCGACCGGTCGGGTCGCGCTGCCTCACGAAATCTGGCACTGCCGGGATGAAAATGGATAACCGTGGAAATGTACAACACGCTCGTGCACGCACAAGTGGGCCGCCGTACGCGTCATTTACACCGGCCATTTCGGGAACACGTGGTTATTAAAGAGCCACATCACGACGCCGGGACATCTTGAATCAGGATGCCGGCGGCAGCGTTGTCGATGGGTCTGCACGGAGACGCAAGTTCGCTCGGATCAACCTGACGATGAAGCGAGCGAACGCACTCTGGTCGAAGGAAGACGGAATCTCCAGCTCTCGGCTCGGAGAATTTGGTTCTCGAGAAGAACGGAAATTCCGTTTCCGCCTCGACGCATATTTTTTCGCGATTTCTTCGGAAGGACAACGAAAAGAGACAACGATATCGCTAGGAGACTCGCTCCCCTCATAATCTCTGAATACGAGGGCAGTCTGAAAAGTTCTCGGCCTAACAGTGAAGGGAAACCTTTTTTTTGCCGTGAAATATGTTTTATTTTTCAATATAATCTCCTGAAATTTCAATACATTTATTCCAGCGTCTTTCCAATAATTCAATACCATTCAATCATTAAAGTGTGATTCCGGAAGGAAATTCTTTTCGCTCTGATGTATGTAGCGATGGATTCAAGTTTCATCAACAGTTATGAAACGACGCTTGAAATCCGTTTTATTTTGCTTAAAACTGTTTTGATGAAAATGTGCCAAACACGCTTGAGAAATACGCATTCGAATGCGTTTTTGGTCAATCGTTAGCAAATGCGGCACCCCCCCTCCATCTTGCACAAAGCTTTTTCAACTGGTGCTACTACTCGAATGACTTGACAGATCGAGTAAAATTTTATATGGGTTTATATCAGGGACGTAACACTTTCCAGTACAATTATAGTTTGACAGTTTCTAATGGCACGCATGTGTCAGGTCAGGAGAACTTTTCAGACTGCCTACGTACTACTGCGATCAGAAAGTAGCCGAACTTTATTTTTAAAAATCAAAATTACAATTCAATCATGAGAATCCTTACAGCCTCCTTTGGAGTAGTCCCCATGTGCTTGCAAAGCACATATGCCAGCGTTTGATTCAGTCTTGGAAACATCGCTCGTACGCGGCAGACGATATAGCCTTCAATTCACGCAACGATTTTTCTTTCATGTCCTCAATCGATTCGAAACGCTGTCCGCCAAGTGGTTTTTTTAGTAGGGGGAGCAGGAAAAAGTCGCTGGGGGCCATGTCCGGTGAATACGGTACTTGCGGAGCGACATTCGGTGAGTTTTTTGTCAGAATTTCACGCACAGGTGTCACAAGAGGTATGCGATGGTGCGTTGTCGTGATGCAAAATCCACGAGTTGTTTTCCCACAATTCCGGTCGTTTCTTACGGATTGTGCGCTGCCACGATACGAAATGATATTCCAACTTCATCTGCTATCTCTCGCACAGTCAATCGACGATTTTGGAGCACCGATTCTTTCACTTTCTCAATGTGGGTGTCATCCGTTGACGTTGATGGTCTTCCAGAACGTGGGTCGTCTTCAACGGATTCCCATCCTTCTTGAAACTTCCTAAACCGCTCAACGTACTT